GAGGAGGAGGAGGAGAAGGAGGAAAAAGAGGAGGAAAAGGAAAAAGGAGGAGGAGCGCACGGTACGTGAGGGGCGGTGAGCGGGGCTGGTCCCTCCCGCTCTCCCCGACCCTGTCCGCCGGGGCCGGGAAGACCAAGGAGAGGAAGAAAAGGAACAACCTGTGCAGGGCTCGCCGCCGGCAGCCGGCCAGGCCCGTGTCCGAGCGGGACCGGCCCGTAAGGGTCGGCTCAGGGCTCTGTCACAGAGTCTGGAGAAGGGAACACTGAGTGGGGATCCCATGGATCCACACAAACATCTCCGAGGGCTGCCAGAGGATGGGGCCGGGCTATGCCGGGCGCTGCCGAGAATAAAATAAAGGGCAGCGAGCGGCAGCCCGGCAGGAGGAAGAACTTGTGTCCATGGAGGGGCAGAGGCCTGGAACAGCTGCCCAGGGAGGGCCTGGAGTGTCCCTGTGTGGAGCCATGGCAGCCCCAGCTGGGCACGGCCTGGGCTGAGGGAGCTCCACAGGAACCTTCCAAACCTAATAATTCAGGATTCGGTGATTTTTCACAGCTGCCGATTTCCAGAAGCGCACAGCTCTGCTTCAACCCTGTGAGGGAACTGTGCACTCCTCACGTTTTTCAATGAGGGCGATTTGCAGCCCTTCATCAGGGCTGGGGCACTTGGGGAATTGCAGAAACACTTGCGCTCTCTGTTTCCTGCTTTTCCCCTTTCCTGGCATCCAAGAGGCACAGAGCAGCAGAGCCTTGGGTTAACTGCTGTTGAGAGTAATGTGTTTCAAGTGCTAATAAATAATTTTTGTCGTGAGCAGACAGGATGATGATGTGACTCAGGGTCAGGTACTGAAAAATAATGAGCGTTGCATGAGGTGCTGTGAGACTTGTATTTCTTGTTAAGGAGAGGTGTGATCCGGTTGTAATAGCTACAGGTTATTGTTGTGATAGCTGCTGACAGGACAAGGAGAATAGCTTTAAACTGAAAGAATAGTTTTAGAGTAGATAATGGGAAGAAATTCTTGCCTGTGAAGCTGTGGCTGCCCCTGGATCCCTGGAAGTGTCCAAAGCCAGGCTGGATGGGGCATGGAGCAGCCTGGGACAGTGGAAGGTCCCTGGCCATGGAACGACATGAGTTTTATGGTTCCTTCCAGCCAAACCATTCAGTGATTTGTTTGTGGTGCTGCCCTGCTGCCTGATGTCCACAAACACATTGAACCAACCCTATTTATGACACATCCTCATTGAAATGGGCAACGGGAGAGGGGGGACAAGTAAAAATGACCAAATTCTCTGAGAAATACCTTATTTTCAAAACCATGTGAGGAAACCCTTTGAGGGATAGGGAAGGTTTTGAAGCCATATTTTGGGCCATGGAGCGCTGCACTGCACTCTTAAGGAAATAAATGTTAAAAGTGCAGCTCTGGGCTGCCCTGTACAGGGAAGACACCACCATGCTGGAACCAGCCCAGCAGAGCCCCAAAGATGATTAAGGGTGTTTGGTGTATGAGGCAAGGCTGAGAGATGGATCAGCCTAGAGAAGAGAAAGGTCAGTGGGATCTCCTAAATGTATTTAACCATAAAGACATGGTGGGAGGGAATAAAGAAGATGGAGCTAGACTTTCTTGAGTCAAGACTACGAAAGAGGCAACAAGCGCAAACTGATAGGTAAATGCTTCCAGTTAAACAGAAACAAAAGTATTCCCTGCTATGATGATTGAGCACTGAAACAGGTTCCCTATAGAGAGGCTGTGGCATATCCATCCTTGGATGTAATCAAAACCCAAATGGAAACACTCCTGAGCAACCTGCTGCAGTTGACACTGCTGTGGGCAGGGGGAATGAACCAAAGGTCTCCAAAGGTCTCTTCCAGCCTCAGCTGTTCTGCAGATCCACAATTCCCTGATGGAATTGAAGAAAAATCTTTGTTTTATTTAAAGCAAGATGGGGTTTTTTTTCCTATGCTTTTTTATTTTACTGTTCAGTTGCTATAAATTAGTGAAATTTCTTGGTGTTCTTTTTATCTGCCAGCACTAACCTTCAGTTTGCTCTGCAGGTACCCTGTAGCATGGCAGGTGAAGAGGACTTCTTTTTGGAGGAGAAAAGATTCAAGCAGTACTGTGAAGACTTTGTTAAACATTCACAGCAGATAGGAGATGGTTGGGAGTGGAAAGCCAGCAAGGTAAAACAATCACAGCGTTGACTTTTTGAATCTCTTGGTGAACTTCTTGAGCTGTTGACTACCACCACAAGCTGGAACATCCTTTAGCAACACAGGAAGCAAATTTTTCACACAGCTGGTCCAAGGCTGTAGCAGTGCATAGGTGTCAAGTTGTTGTGAGGGTTGAGGCCGGTGCATGTACTGGATCTGTGGATCTCTGGATCTCTGAATCCTGGCCAATCTATCAAAACCCTTTTCAGCTGTGGGCAGGACCAGACAATGAATGTGGTGTCACTGTGAAATTCAATCCCTCCTACTCTGGGCAGCTGCCTGTGGTTTTATATCCAAGGTTTGCTTTAACCCTTTAGGTTGAAATATCACATAGCCTTTATTCTAGATTCTTGGCTTAGTATTTTCGTTACAGTACCTGTCAGTTGCATACAGGAACCAGAAATATCTGCCAGTATTAGTGATCAATTCTCATTATTTGCTGCTTCTCCATAACTTTCAAACCTCTACGATAATAATTACATATTGTTTCTAGGTCATTAATCAAAATTTTAAATAGCACAGGGCTAAGATAAGTCCCAAAGGACCCTATTAAAATCACTTCTTTTATGATGATTTCCCCATTTTTTAAGTTACACTTGAGATCTGTGAATTAATAAATTTTCATCCTATAGCATGTGTAAGAGTAGTGTGGGATTATTTTAATTTTTTTAAATTTACACTTGTGGAATCCACAGATGTTTTAGGGAATTCTGAGCAAGTATTATTCCTACTTGTATGTTTATCAACCAAACATGTCTCCTGAAATTAAAGAGAAATTCTGTTTTCTTTAAGAAAAATGCTTTTACTATACATATTTTTTTCATTTACTGAATTTGATGACTTTTGTTATATTCCTCAGGATTATGTCCAACTAATATGTATGTAGGTACACAAATTACCCTATATATGTATTATAGTGTATAAAGACATATCGATACAGTATATAAAAATGTATTGTTACAGTGTATGAAGATGTATTGATACATGCTGGCTTTTTCTGACATGTAGGTTTTCATATTCTCTTTTTTGTGTTTTCTTTCTATTGTAGAAAATTTGCTGCTCTAGCTTTTTTTTTTTTTTTTTTAGGGTTTAATGGCTTTAGTGGTTTCCCATGCTTTCATGAATTTTTTGAAAAAAGTCCATGCTTTTTCCAATGTGTGCCATCATTTTTACATATGTAGTTGTACATTAATGTTTGTAACCCTTTCATCACAGACAATCAGAATTTCAGCAAGAGGGAGGACTTTGGACTTTAGATATTTTCTGTTTAGGAATTTTTAAAGGAGTGTAAATATTAGCCAAGTGTTACAATGCACCCTTTCTTACAGCAAACCATTTGAAACTTTAGATTTCAGTCCAAGGCTATATTTGTGAGGATTTATTCAACAAAGAAAGATGCTCTGAGCCTCCTCTACTGGGAATTTAATACATGGGTCAAAGTCTGAACTTTCTGTGAAATAAGAAGCTTTGCTGGAAATAGCAGAATGAGATAGATTTTTGTTCTCATATAAAAAAATTCTAAGAGGGTTGTTTTCTTTTTTTAATGGGCCAAGTTGGCGACTCTGTGATTTCAGCATGTGATAAAAACCTGGGCATGGAGACCGTCCATTTATAGTGTGCAGTCTGGGAAGAAAGCTTTTCCTCAACAAGATGTCTCATTGTCTTTTTACCTTTTTTTTTCTTTTTTTTTTTTTTTTTTTTTTTTTTTTTTTTGCACTCTTAATTTTGCTGATGTAATGCACTTGGATCCCATTCCTCATTCCTGGCTCACGTGAATAGACCCATTGATAGCAGTGAGACCACACAAGTGAAGCAGGCTGGTAGAACTGTGTTCCTGTGTTCCCGTGTTTTTCTGTGGAGATTAAATTTAGATGATGAAATACTCATTGTTCTCGTGGAGCTGGCTCTTGGTGCGTAAGCTCACATGGCCCGAGCAGAACCCTGTATTTATAGCTGTAAGTGAAATGTTCCAAATGATGTTATTTTTATAATGTGTTTTCTTGGTTTGGGTTTTTTTTCCACTGGAAGAAAGCTGTAAAAAAGCCAAGAGCACCTCTAGCGCAGGAGCTGGTGGAGCTGAACTTGGGTGCTGCTGTTAGGGATGACTGGTTAAATCTTGCTGTGGAGATGGAGATTTAACGGAAGCAAACGAGGCCCTGCTTGCTCTCTGCTTTATGTTTGTTTCATATTTGGAGAGGTTAATCCAGGTAATCATACTAAAAACTGCATTAGTTCCTTTTGGCTTTTGATACAGCTGTGGTAGGAAGGGACTCCCTTTGCAAATTAGTGGGATCAAGGTTCTGGCTACAGCTTTGATTTATAGGGGTATAGAAATGTGTGGAGTACAAAGCACTACAGAGTGCAGCAGGAGGGATGCTCCTCCTTCCTTCCTGCCCTGAGACACAGCTACCAAACACAGAGACTGCTGGCTCCATCCATCCATCATCCATCCATCCATCCATCATCCATCCATCCATCCCTTATCCATCCATCCATCCATCCATCCATCCATCCATCCATCCATCCCTTATCCATCCATCCATCCCTTATCCATCCATCCCTTATCCATGCATCCATCCCTTATCCATGCATCCATCCCTTATCCATCCATCCATCCATCCATCCATCCATCCATCCATCCATCATCCATCCATCCATCATCCATCTATCCATCCATCGTCCATCCATCCATCCATCCATCCATCCATCCATCCATCCATCCATCCATCATCTAACCCTAACCCTAACCCTAACCCTAACCCTAACCCTAATTAATTTTTTTTCCCCCTCTCCTCTCCTCCCCTCCCCGGCTGTGAGGTTTGACTCTTTTGGGGGTGAGAACCGGTTCAGGGAGGCAGAGGCTCTGTCCAGCCCTGCTCTGGCTCAGCTCACTGTGCCGTGGGACATGTCACCTCTGTGGGTGGCTGCAGCACTTCTGCTGCTGCTCTTAGTGTGACAAATACCTGAGGAGACCCTTGAGAGGGTGTTGAGAGCTAAAGAAGTGGATTTTCTATCACCAATTTAGGCTTAGCTGTCCTTTCATCAATTCTCTGCGCACTGGGTTCCTCCCTGCACAGGCTGCACTTGGCTCTGCAGCCAGGACATGCAGGAAAGTTTGGTGGGTTCATGCTCTTAATGAGATTTACTGAGAAAATAAGGCATACACTATGAGGAGTGAGTGATGTAATTGCCTATACTGTTATTCATGCTTAAAAATCAATGGAAAAAATACATGTAGAGAGCATTATCTTTTTTTTTTTTTAAATGTGTGAAACTTGATCAGAGCAAAGTAAACAAGTAGATCATAGATTTTGGAGGTACATGTAATCTACAGTGTCTTTGGAAAGAGAGAATTAGTGTGTCAATACAAAAGCTGTGCTGGTTTAAAGGTCAAAATAAATGGCATAAACTGTGTCAGCAATGACAAACTAACCAAAAGAGTTAAATCACAACTAAATTTGCAGTCTTGTCAAGAAATTTAATGCTATGTTAATGAATTTTGTAGTGAGACTGTTTTGAATAGAATCCTTTTCTGTCAGATGTTGTGCATATGCTCTCTGTTTGTCTAAAATAAAATGTAATGAAACAGCTAATAAACCCCCAATTTATTTGTTTCCTTTGAGAAATAAATCCTCAACATGCAACTACTGTTCTTTGTCTTCTGTACATGCTTTCTCCCTTTCAGAGTGTACCTGTTATTAAAGGTTTTCTCTTCTCTTGCTTCTAATTAGCAAAAATAAAATGTGCAGGTAGGCACATGCAGGAAAGCTCCTAAACCTTTCTTCTGCCACTCTGGGATTGTGCTAGGGCACTTAACAGCTGTGGGCTGTGTGGCCTGGGAAGCAGAATGATAAAATAGGAGCTGGGAGAAGGCACAGCTTCGTCTGTTTCCTCTCAGGTTTGACCTCAAAGGTGATCAAGAGAAGGAAACAAGTTGTGACTCTGCATACATAAATTCTGAGGTTTTGTTTTGTTTTGTTTTTCAGAACTTTGTAAAGTTAGAGGGGGAAACAGAGCAAAACCAAACCAGGCTCGCAAGAGTTGGGAAGTTAATCCTGGCATGAATGCATTGAAATAGGTCAAAATCGTTAATAACTCCTCATCTCTTCATCATCTTGGTGCACTGCCTTCCTGTTCTTTGGCACTTATCCTGATCCCCAGGGTGCAGTTATCTTATTCCATTAATAGCTATTAAAATTTATTTTTTGCTGTTCAGGTCTTTGACTTCCTTCAACACCGAGAACTGGTGTAAACTATCTGTGAGAAGGTGCTGAGGAGCACTGCAGTCATCGGTGCCTATAAAAAGACTTGGAGCCTGTGCCTAAATACCATGCTCTGTTTATTTTCTAGAACAGTGAAGGCATTTACCATTTTGGTTACAGAAAATTTCTTTTTTCTTTTTCTGAACACAGGACCTTGGTGATGGTTATCTTAGTAAGACACATTTCCAAGTAAGAAACAGACACATCCCACCAGACCTCAAGGAGAAAAACAATGGTAACACTGAAGAAATGTTATTTGCACATGTAGAAGTAAGTACAGATTTTTGAACTTACGTGTTTATAAAATAAGTAATAAAATTAAAAACCACTATGCAAGTAGGTCCTTCCAACAAGACTTCAGATCTGAAGTTACCAGTGGCTTTTAATTAGTTATGGGGGAACTAATTAATGCATCTCATTGAGGTGTACAGCTGTATTGGTGTTAAAATTGGGAAGAAACGGATAAGATTCCAGCATCCTTTATGTAGGTGTTCTCATAGGATAATACTTCTTTAGCATTTTCATTCACTAACATTAAGGAAACTTTTTTTGTGTGTATGTGTATTTGGAAAAAAGATTAATCATTAAGATTTATTTATCTTAGAGGTAAATGTTAGTTAAAAGAATAAAGGAAACTTTGAGGCTAATACTCATTTGAAGTGATATTTATTGAATAAGAGTACTTTTTTGCTGTGGAGCTGACATAAAGACTGAGCAATTTTTTGAAACTGGTGGCAATGAGATGTTCCTGAAGGAGAATAAATGTCTTTCTTCCAGAAAATTAAAACTGTTCATTAAGCTCTGGTTGGACTGATCTGAATAATTATTTGCTTGCTTGAGTCTGCATTAGACCTCCAGATTATTGACTAATCAGGATATAAATGACAGGGATTTCCTCCCTTGTTATGTTGTTACCATAAAAAAGAAAATAAATCTTGGATTATAATAGGCTGAAAGCAATGTATTCTGTAGGCTGTTGAATAGGTGGATGTGGTATACTTTGAAGTTACCTTTTTCTGCAATTCCTTTCCTTTTTTCATCAGCACTCTGATTGCTTTTTTTTCCCCACTGAGACTCTGGTACATTTAAGACATTTTTGGTCTGAAATGAGTATTCTTTTGGCCTGGTTTCTGAAGGAAATGGCACTTAAAACAATTGTGCTATTAGTCTGTGATACAGTCATTTCTACTGATTTTTGAGCTCACTCACAGGTTTCAGCTGCATTTTAAAGAAGGATAGATATCCAAGTCATTTAACAAAGAGCTGAGGCATTTTTCAAGTTTTTCTTTAAATTGTATTCTAGTATTTTGTGAAAAAAAAAGACAGATATCAATGCTACAGGGTTTGTTATTTAATTGTCATTAACAACACTTTGTATACTTCAGTCCTGACTGGTAACAACAGATTACTGTTTATACTGAAAATTGCTTTTGATGTTTGTGACTTTTTTTTTTTTTTTTTGAATAGTGATTCAAGTCTTTGTTATAAAGTGCATTTTTAAAGAACATCTGTAAAAAGCTATTGAGTCCTTCTTCTGGAAAAAAGGTGTCAGTTACAGAAAACATCATACAACCAAAAAGACTTCCGAGTCTCTAATGTACTGAAATGTTAAATACACTGAAATGTTATGATAAATAATACACTGAAATAAGATTCCAGGCCAAGCTTTGTGGTTTATCAAGGTACTGTAGTGAGTAGTCCTCAAGATATTTTAGAAGATTTCTTTGTTTTGAACCACAGTGATGTGCAGGTTGGAAGGAGCCTTTGTACCTGTTACGTAGGAGCAGTGAAGATGAAGAGTGAAGCAACAGAAAGGTCTCAGAAAATTGTGGAGGTTAATAAGACTGTAAGAAAAAGAATTAATTTCTTCCCCAAAATACTAAATTCCTAATTGAGATGATGTCAGATTTACATTCTTCATTGAGTCAAAGGGTAACCAGACTGTTAAAATTATTTTAAGCTATCAAATAGGAAAATTAAATTTGCTATGGATATGTAGAGTAAAGCTGTGTGTTTAACACTAAGAAAGATGAAAATGGTGACTGTAGAGAGGTTACATTTTCTTAGGCACAGTAGTTCCTGTGTAAGACACATGTTCTTTTTCACAGATATTGAGTGCTAGAGACCAATTCCACTCTAATATCAATCTGTTATTTAAAATAGGTGTTAGGTTTTGAGTTTTTTATAGTTTTAATATATGTTGTACCCGTAAATCACATGGTATTATGGAATTACTGCAATCTGCTTGAATAAGTTATTGAAATACATTCTGATGAAAAGCAAAAGTTGAGGCCTTCGTGGAAATTGGAAAGTTTCGTCTGGCTATATGCATTAAATTTTTTTTTTTTTTTTGTTAGAAAAGTAACAGCTTTAATTTTTATATATTTGGAGTGTAAATGAGTTCTAAATAAGAAATTAAATTTATTTTGTAAAAAAATGGCCATTGACTGATAGTTGTATATTTCATGATTTTCAGTTCAGAATTACTGTTGTGATCTTGATTTTTCTAAATTGTATCTCTGTTACTTGTATTTTATTGGAATATTTCCATCTGACTAATCTGATTTCCTCCAAGGTGTGATAGAGATGATGCATGTGCATGTAATAATATAATTAACCAGGAACAGTAAGAAATGAAAAATACGGAAATTAAGATCCGAGTAATCAACATTTGTTGTTAGGAACAATCAAAAAAAAAAAAAAAAAAGAAAAAAAACCCTGTGCTGTGGAATATGCTAGGGCATAAGAGGCCAGAAGATTTTCCTCCTGTCATCCTGGAAATCCAGTTCAAAGGTTAGAAACAGAAGGTTAGTTTTGGCAGAGAAGGTGAAAATTTGGAGGAAAATCAGAAGACAGATTTTTGAGGTTGGGTGAAGTTATGAGACAGGATTTCATTCCTGTGTAAGGGATTGAACCCAAGACACATCAGGGAGGAGGTGATGTAGAATAAACCATAAATATATCCTGTTGTAGTGGGGTACAGTTAGGATATTAACACTGCAGAGATGCAAAATTATTATTGTTCTACTCATTTTCAGTCTTTGAAGAGACACTGAAACCTAATGATGTGATAAAGAAAATACACAAATAGCCTGAAGTAACTTTATTAAAATAGAAAATTAACTATCAGTTATCACAGTGTCAGAATGTGCTAATCTTAAGGGATCTACTGGAAACCTGACCAATTTACTTGGAGTTTGTTTCACTTCACTGATTAGCATGGATGGTTAATGTTTCCAACTTTCCATGTCATTGGTTTTGTCTACATATCAGGGGCCTGCCTGGTGAAGGAGTGATGAATAACTTTGTATTCTGATCTTTTCCACAGAGCAGTCTGTATTATGTGCTGGTTCCTTATATACAAGTTGTGTTTTCATCTGAAAACCAAGAATAAAATTCTATGTGGGTTTCTTTCTGCTTATTTTAGATATCTGCAATATAGAGCTTGTCACTTAAATCTTTGTTTCTGCCTGAGGAGGTAGAAAAGCATTTTTGGGTATAAATCAGTTGACCTATTTTAGGTGTCTCCTCTAAGAGATGATGAGTCTAAAAGTATGTGTTTCTCCTAAGAGGTGATCAGGGTTAAGCTACATGGCTGTGGTGCCTGCACGTTTTCATGTCAGCCCCATACAGCAAAAGGTGGCTTTGGGCTTCTTAAAGCACTGGGAATTCGTGCTGGTGACTTCACTGGGGCTTAGATTTCACTTGGGTGGTGGAGCTCATACTTAGCTGAGGATTGTGTTTTGTAAAGTAGCAACTTAAAGACAGTTTAAGGAAGTTGTGTTTTTTTTTTTTTTTTTGTACTTGGCAGTGTCTCCGTTGTCAAGCTGTTTATCTTAATGAGGTGCCTGGGGATCCTGTCTTAAGCAGACCCTATTTTTCCATTCCTCCTAGAAAAGGATTCACACTGTTCTTCTGGTACGCCATCCTCTGTTTTTTGTGGTTTTATTTTAATCAAGATGTTTATTTCGACATTCTGATTGGTAAACAGAAACTACTAATGACAATGTGACTGATGATAAACTTTAGGCCATGTTGGTGGAGGATGCCCTTCTGACCAGTGAGATCAGATTCAGTCCCTTGGATATAAGCTGAAGAGTCAGAAATCTTTTAGAGTCTCTTCCAAAGGAATAAAAATATCCTGAGATGTAAAGCAAGGGACAGATAGGAACACAGGGGCGCCATTTGAAAATTTTTAAGTTGCCATTTTGTTCTGGTTAAATTTTTATTGAATCAGTTGTTGTCTTTCTGAGCTGTTCTGACTTTGTGCCAGCTGAGTGTCATCTGTACTTTTCCACAGACAGCATAAATCTTGTGTAACCACCATAAAGCGTTCTGGCTAATTCAGCAACAATCTTCAGTATGTATTCTTTCTTGATCCAAATCAAATCTGTCCTCCCAGGACATCTGTCAGGGTCTTTATCAGGGAACATGGGACTGTGTCTTCTTTTCTAGCAAGGACAGAAAAGTTGCATACATTATTGCATGAATTGTTGATAAGGTGAAAAACACTGTGCAAGATTCAAAGTGAGGGTAGTTCTCCTGTCTCAAAGAGCTTATGCTCTAAACGAGTAAAATGGGAAAAAATCTGGATTCACTTTATGCATTCTTTTTGTTTGTTATTCAAATAGCCCAAGGGAAGCAATAACTTGGAGTAATAATTCTCAGTGTGTGGTGTGTCTCAGCTCCTCTGGGTATTGCAGAAGTGAGTCAGCACGGAACCATTCCTGGAGCTGGAGCCACTGCCGCTTTATAAAGGAGTGGGCAGGTTGGGAATGCTGAAGGTCTGTTTATACCTGATACTGCCTTTGGAAAACGAGCACTGAGCCTAGCACACACGCTGATGAAGTTGTGCATTTGCTGTATTGTGGGCTCCACCTTTGCTGGCAGCTGCTTATGAGTGTAATCTGCCTGATGGGGGATGTGGGAATGAGTCTGACATCTTTCTTAAATGTCGTAATACCATAATTTGCTGTTCAGCTGTACTTTTAAGTTTGTAGCAAATAGAAAACTACAATTTTTAGCAATTATTAAAAATTTTTCCTCTAAAAAAATCTAGTATTTTTACAATTAGGAACAGCTCCTTTTTCTTTTTTCTGTGCAAAAATAAATAAGATGAACACAGTGTAAACATTTGCATAACCACAGTATTTGTTGGATGGTTAAGCGAAAACCCAGCAAACAGTGCTTAAGGAGAAAAAATGTAAATACATTTAATAGAATCCAGCATTCACTGCATGGAATAATGGAAGTACCTTAGTAAAGAGGGA